TAGCTAAATTGTTGTTATATTTGTAACAGTATATAATACCAACATCTTTGTCCAAAAATAAAGGTGACTACTTTCACAGTACTTATGTACTAGAGTGCTGATTGCCTGATCTGCTGATCAGTACACAATAATCCTATAGGAAAAAAAAAAGAATTATAGTTAGCATTTTTGCAAACTGCAGCCAGCAAGCATACTGATGAGCTACACAAATGGTAGTTTAGCTCGGTGATACTTGCCGGGGGTTTGAGGTTTCTATTAAGAAATTCCCATATTCAGCCTACAAAGAATTCAAGTCGAACGTCAAGTCATGGGACCTCTTGCTCGTCAGCTGTTCACAATAATATCTCTGTCCTGATGAAAATAATGAAAAATAAGCTTTAGATATGCAATTAAAGTTTTGGAGTCTTTGCTTATAGTTCACAGGCAGATTCATGTGACTTTGCTTGATTTATGCAACGTAAGATATGATATTTCATTTATTTCTTGTTATTTACTCCTCGCACCATGATTTTACACTTAAAATCACTAAGCATCGATTTTTAACAATCATTACTGTTTGCATTCCAGTGCTTATAGAAAGAAGCATTTGGGGCCTGACAATATTAATATGCTCCTCGTCTCAATGAAGGGGCCTCTCAAGGAACTAAACAAAAGACACTACTTTAACATTAGTGAGCGTGTTCAAAGAGCAGAAACTGAATTGGAAGATATCCAAAGTAAGCTTCAGGATGATCCTTTTACCTCTGTTTTAATCATCAAAGAAAAAGAGTGTATCTCATCTTACAACAAGCTACTGTATTGTGAACTGTCTTTTTATCCGCAGAAAGCAAGAATTGCATGGAGCATGCACGGAGATAGATGCACCAATATCTTCCATTCTGCTATAAAATCAAATAGGCATCACAATAGAGCTATGATTCTTTATAATAAGGCGTGAGATGGGCTCACTGATGGTGAGGAAATTATTAATGAGCTAATATCTTTTTATAAGAATCTGATGGGTACTGCCATAGCTACTTGACCTCCAAATATTAACATCATCCAGAATGGCCCTTGTCTCAATGAAGTTCAAGCTAGGAAGTTTATCTACCCCTATTTCTAGAGAGGAAATCAAAGCAGTTGTGTTCTCTATGTCTGATGACGAGGCTCCAGGGCTAGAAGATTGCAGTGCCTCTTTTTTTCAAATCTGCATGGACCATTATTGGTGAAGACATAACTCTAGCTACTGAGGAGTTTTTTAAAACTGGCAAGCTTCTACATATGATTAACTCCACCTCTTTGACTTTGATTCCTAAAGTTCAATGCCCTAAAACTCCATCAGATTTCAAACCGATAGCATGTTGCAATTGCCTTTACAAATTTATTTTTAAAATTCTTGCAAATAGAGTGCAATTAGTTATGAGTTTTCTTGTAAATGAAGCACAAATTATTTTTGTGAAAGGCAGACTAATCGCCAATAACATCCTTCTAGCCCATGAGCTTCGTAAGAATTATGGAAGAAAACATATGTCACCTAGGGTCTTAACATTGATATTAGAAAAGCATTTGATGCTATTAGTTGGAGTTTCTTACAAGACATATGCTCTATGGCGTGGGATGATGACTGATTGGACTATGACATGTATATATTCACCTAAATATTCCATTTCTCTAAATGGCACTCTTCATGGATATTTCAAAGATGATAGAGGACTAAGGCAAGGTGATGCTCTCTCCTCTTATCTATTTATTTTGGGAATGGAATATCACTCTAGGAGGTGGGTATGCTAAAACATGACAAGCAGTTTACGTTTCATCCTAAATGTAGAAGATTCAAGATAAATCACTTACTCTTTGCTGATGAACTTATTCTATTTAGGAGATGTTATGGTGTTTTCAATCACCTAAGTGCAACCCTTTTCTAGTAACGAACAAATGTACTTCTGTATGCAATGCCCCGATTAAATTGGCGGCTCAAGATCAACAAGGGTTCCAACTTAGCTGACTCGTCGAGTCGACATTCCTTCATGTCGAATCGAAAGGCTGTACTAGTCGACCCTATTGTTGAAGACGACTCGCAACGAGCCCACTCGACCTGCTATTTGACGCCTCCTGATGACGACTCGAAAGGCATTACTTCTCGGCCAAGCTAAAGGACTTCGGCTTCGAGCTCCCCTCACTGACAACGTCGATGTCACATTTAATGCTTGGCAGGTGTCATCATGCCTCTACCCCCGATAGTCTTCATGACTCATCAGACTACGTCAGCACCATCATGCCTCCGATCACTTCCCATTTATTGCTGAGGTGATCTCTCCTCCAGACTCTAGCCGACACCTGTAAAGCAGAAGCTGATTCCGCCGTCAACCCATCTTTTTCACCGCCATCCTGTGCTCGGCCACAATAACGGTTCTGCCCTTTCGACACTACTATAAATACAGGTACTATTCTAACGTAAAAAAGGTTCACAAATTTGATCTTTTGATATAGATCTCCGAATTACTGCACCCACAAGAACTCTCACAGTTCTTCACTTTCTCCACTCAAGATCACCAGCTGACTTGATCATCAGAGGAACCACGGGGGAACCAGTCCCCGTCCTCTCACGAGTTTCTATATATACAGACTTTTTAGCCACTCAACTCAGAACATAGATATCTATCATATGCTAGCAGATTACAGTAGATCAAAAATGTCATTTTGGGAGTTCAAATTTACTAGACATCTAACTACATTCTTCTTGTAAGAGTTCTGCAGAAAATTGATGACCTTTGTAGGAGTTTCTTATAGGGTAAATCTGAAAATGCTTGCAAAGTTCCACTTGTTTCATGGGATATGATATGCTTGAGTAAAAGCCAAGGGGCTTGGAATTTTTTCAGCATTAACATGGAATATTGCCTTTGCTCTCAGACAGCTCTAGTTCATTCATATTAACAAAGAACTATTATGGATAAAATGAGTCCATGGTACATATCTGAAGAGTAAGGATATATGGCATGTAAATATAAGAGTTGGGGATTTATGGATGTGGAAGCAATTGCTAAAAATTAGAAACAAAACCATTGCCTATTGTGGAGGGGTAGATAGCTTGAAGCATTTAATTCACTCTTGTTATAGGAATTCAAAAGTTCAACTCTCTGCCCTGTACTATGCTTTCTCCTCTATATCTTACATTGTGTCATGGTATGACATAGTTTGGAAGGGATTAAACTATCATAAGCACTCATTTGTTTTGTGGTTAGCAATTCAAGATCGTTTACTAGTTCAATATCGTTTACTTACTCAGGATAAATTGCTTAGGAAGGGAATGATACAAACTAATTGTTGTGTTCTCTGTTCTATCTCAGCCATGGAAAGTCGTTGCCTTCTGTTTTTTAGTATAATTTTACTATAGATGTCTGGAATCGTGTCATGGATTAGCTTCAATTTAATTGGAGAGCATGTAACTGGAGTCATCTCTTAGATTGGTATAACAACAGACCAAAGGGGAAAGGATTTAAGCAAAAGATCAAGTGAATGACTTTATCTTCCTCTGTGTACATTATTTGGTGTGAGGGCAATGGAAGAATCTTCAATCAAGCTGCTTGAAGCTCAGATCAGATTGTCAAATATATAAAGATTGGTATTATGAACATAGTTCTTAATAGCTCTCTGTCGAAGGAATGTAAGGAGTAAATAGTTTCTTTGTTATTTTCCTTTGAGCTTTTAGGCTGCATCCCAATTTGAGATTTTGTTTTGTTTTCTCAGTTGGTTGAGCATTTTGATGTACACAAAATGTTACGTTTGGTGAATGAATGCAAGTTTTCCATTGACCCCCAAAAAAATAACATGCTTGTTGATGTATGAAATCACACAGTCAAATAAAAGGAGTTGATTAAATTGATGGATGTCCTCTAACTCTCCAAATGTTTGGTCCTTAAGCAAACTGTTCTTCCTTGCACAAGTAACAAATCGTAAGAGGGCGGGGTCTGGTTCCACGGTTGTTCCTCCGATGATCAAGTCAGTGAGTTGCTTGTGTGAAGAAGTAAAATGGACTGTAGTAATTTTTAAGCATAGAGAGTAGTAGCTAAGAACTTACCCCGTAATTGAAAATAATATCTCTTTTTATAGTAGGGTAGGAGGGTAGAAGGGTAATTTCAGCCGAGCATCGGCTGGCGACCACGTCAGTGTCAACTTTATAGGTGTCGGCCGATGAGTGGAGAAGATGTCACTTTGGTGTTTAATACGAAGTGATGGGGGGGTGTAGTGCCTACGTGGTCCGATGTGTCATCCATACTATAGGGGGTGTGCATTTATTACAAGGTGATTTGTCATTAGTGCACAGGAGGGGGCTCGGGGCGTTTCATCACCTTTCTACTGATCCGATGGTCGAGAAATACCACATTTTAAGTCGCTCTCGTACGGAGTCGGCCGATGAGTTGGCCGAGTGGAGTGGTTAGGTGGTTGACTTAGCCATGGGAAATTTTAAATCACTTTAATACTTGAAACCTTTTGGATCCCCTTGATTCGAGTCATCTGGTCGTGAATCCGTCCCACACTAGAAAATCCGAAAGCGATAGCGGTTTGGTGGGAACCCCGATGAGATCTGGAAATTAAACTGTCGTGACGACTCAGTTAAGTACACTTAAAATAAAACTGGAATCTTACGAATAGTTAAGGTGATATACCTACTTGTGACCTTCCTTGTGATGTCACATTTTTTTCTATTAGCTACTAGATTTTTTACCTATCTTAAATTAGTTTTTTGGAGAAATTTTACCTACCTTAATTACAACAACGACTATAGTATAATACCAATTAGCATCTTGGTCCAAAATCAAAGGTTGGCTAAGCTATACTTGTGTATTAGAGTGGTGATCGATTTCCTGATCAGTGCATAATAATCCTACAGAAATCAAGAACAAACAATAGCTAGCATTTTTAGCAATCAGCCACACCAAGCACAATGAAAGCGCAAATGGAACGCTACACTTTGGGATATCATGAAAGTAAAAAACCGTGATCTCAACTGCACATAGTCGTCAACTAGGCACATATATGGTAATATTATCCCCTCGTTTTTATTCAAATACTCTTATCAATATGAATCAAACGTAATAGCTGGTAAGAACAAGAAAGCTCATTCTTCATCCTCTAGATTGAAGCATATATATTCTGGAGCAAGTATATATGTAGACTTCAATTCAGTTAGGAGGAGGAGAAACAGCATCCATGAACTCCTCATCCACCTCAAGCAAAGCCATATACTCCGGCAACAAACACACCTCGAGGTCCACGCTCCCTCCACCCTCCCACCCAGGATACGATGACACCTTACCATCAAACTTATTCGCTGCCCCGCTCCTCAACCCTACAGCCTTCCCCCATCCAAAATCACATCCGTACATGTCAAACCTCGGTGAACTCCCCATCATCACGCTGTACTTATCAAATCCACTCAAGGGATACACAAAGGGCTTCTCATGATACTTCTTAACTAATTCCCTGATTGCATCATCCGTGTGTGATCTAACACTTTGATGCACCAGCAAAGCTGCCCATCCAAGGCCATGGGCCATGAGCTCGCCAACCGTCGTGGTTGCAGCAATTGCATATATCGAGTTCCCGAAGTAATCGGGCGATAAGGGTGGTTGCAGTCGTGAACGGTTTTGGATTGCCAATCGACAACTAGTCTTCTGATAAGGAGGTAGACCACGCGCGCGGGTGATGGATCGCCACATGAGAGAGGATAAGGCTTGGAAAGAGGAGATCGTATTGGTATCACACTCCTTGTTGGCTTTTGCTTTTAATTCATCAAGGGATTGCGAAGAGAAATGAAAAAGTTTCTCTCGTAGTTGGGGAGGGCTGTACCTTTCAATATATTCCTCTGGGTCTGAATATGGCAGGTTTACTGGAGGGCTTTCTCCTTCAATGAACCAACGGTCGTGAACAGGAGGCCTAGAGATGGTTAGATCGCCGTCTTTCGCTCGAGCGATTTCGGCCCACGCGTTGAAGAAGTGCCAGTAAGAAGTACCATCCCCAACTACATGGTTGAAACAACAAGCAACAAATAGGCCATCCGATAGTTGGGTAAGCTGAACGGCAAGAAGAGGGAGGGTGTGGCCATCATGGTTGATGGCTCCGTTGAAAGGAAAGAAAGATTGGACGAAGGACGGAACATCATCCGATGGTGCGAGAACATCCGTAACCGTAACATCATGAGCTACGGCGTAGATAAACTCTGCACCTTGGCTTGTGCAATCAATTGAGACTTGTAGGCTGCTAACTTTACCATTATCACCCAAAACCTTCTCGGTTCTGAGACGGCCAGCAAGGGGAAAGAAGTGGCAGAGGGCGACGGACAGAGAGGACTTGAGGCGGTGGATGATAGTCTCGATGGAGAGCGTGGGGGGGATGTTTGCGAAGAGGAGACCTTTCTGAATGTAGTGAGGAGAGAGCATGGCAACATCCCATGCTGCGAGATGCAAGAGCTTAATAGCCATGTTCGAGCATGATGAGGGTTTAACTAAGCATTTGGAGACTTGAAGAATCATGGGTGGAGGTGTGGCCATTGATTAATTGTTGTGTTCCCAACAATTTAAACCGATAACCACTCTAGATCCTAATATGATCTAATCTATGTATCGCTTTCTCTGCCTCCTAGCTCCTTTTAGTTATTTATATAGAAACAGCTCACTAGCAACTTTAGTACTATTAAATTGAGATGTGAAAACTGCCATAGATCTAAATCCTTAATTAGTCTGGGTCAAGGTTGGTGGCTTAGTTTGTTTATTTCCGTATCTGTCATAGGCCTAGAAAAAATAGTATGCTGATCTTTTCCGATCATGCAGAACGGTCAAAATAGAGATATTAATTTAAAGAAAATAATGTGATTTTAGTAAGGTCGACATAAAAAGTTGGTGAGACACACGTTCTCAAAAAAAGGGTTGGTGAGACACCTTGCTACTGTTTAAAAGTCTTATAAAAATGTGATTTTAGTAAGGACTGCAACCACCCTTGCTGCTTGCTTGCTTGTCACACCAAGAACAGACTAGGCTTACATCATTTTGATCCAAGGGTTACTACCTCCTTGCTGCACCATCAATCTAGCGTTGCGAGGATTATAGGATATTTTCACCTATTCTGTTTCCCCTTTAATTCCCTCCTACTTCTATACGCAGCCCTTCTGCAGTTTTAGAAAAGTTGTGTACGAGATCGTCTACGGTCTACCATTCGGTTGCAGCCTACATCTTGAGCATCCAACAGGTCGGAATCCTGCTGGATGTTCACTGCACACCAACATGTTTAATTAAGACACATTTCACCCAAAATAAACGAACCCCATTAATTTTCTTTAATTGTATCAAACAGTACTCTTACTTATAGCTAGGAATTAAGAAACCTACCTCCTATGCAGAATAATGCTCACAGCCAGCATTGTATTATTCCCATAAGGATGAGTAACTTCTTTCTCTTTATATTATTCGCTGTTTCTACTCTATGTTATACAAATTGAACGTGAATAAGTGATGGCTGACGAGGTCATCTATGCTTAAGTGCCATCTTCTTTGCAACTTCCTTCAAAGGCTCTGACCCCACTTGATAGTGCGTAGGAAAGCTGTTCTGCTACTTTAAAGGATTTATTTGTGGACCAGAGTGCATCCTTCAACATCACCAGTGAGCAGCCAACGGACAGGCCAAGTAAAATTTCCCCTACTTAGGACAAAACTGTTTATCATCTAATTTGACCCCTAATCTTAATAATATGCTGGAAAAAAGTTTTCAAAAATAACCTGAAAATTTTGCAGTGAAATGGAGGAAGGGGTAAGGTATGAATTAAAAAGCAGAAAGCTTTTCATTGAGAAACTTTAATTTATTTGGGATGCCAGCCCTTTAGTTTCGAGATGAGTTCATAGACGAGAATAAAAGAATATTGTGATCTGGAAAGAAAACCTCCAAAATTCAATATGGGAAGGAAACAAGTGGAGGACACGAAGATGGATGGATTACGTACTATCCTAATTTACTTCTTAAATTTGCATACCCTAATTTAAGAATAAGTGAAGGACACAAAGGAGGAGACAAATCAACCATGCCCTTATTTATTTCTTAAATGTGCATGATTTTATATAAAACTGTTATCATGTTATATATAATAGAAATTTTATCTTTTTGATATCTAATATGCTGCTTAATAATTGTTTTGGTCGGTTAGCAATTTATCCATGAATTATTTTAGTGTTATATCTTATTAAACCTGTCTGATCCATTAATAATTAATGATAATTTTCCTACTCGTTGAGTGTATCTCACCCCTTATTTTTCACCTTTCTCAGATGCAAACTGATATGCCGTATTTTAGCTTGAAAAGTTGGTAGTAGTTTTACTTATAGGATGCTTTGTCGTGTTGGTTTTGGAAGTGTGAAGACCGAAACCTGAAGAAGAAATCATCAAAGAAGCAGAAAAGCCCAGATCGGTCGACCGACAAGCTTGGGCCAGTCGACCGAATTGATTGCAGGAAAACAACCCAGGAAGTTCGCTATGGTTGGTCGACCGACACAAGCTCATCGGTCGACCGACATGAAGTCAAGAAACTTACAGGAGTTTCGGGTCGGTCGACCGATGGCACTGAGCTGGTCAACCGACAACATGCACTAGCAGACTGTAGAAAACAAGGTTCTGGTTGGTCGACTGATGCCATTGCACCGGTCGACCGACGTTGGATTTTCCAGTTTCCTAATTCGTTTGGGAATCTGTTATAAGCTGGATACTATATATACCTTGATATGTTTTTAGGGTTTGTAGAACACGAAAAATGAAGGGTTTTGATGGCACTTTGAGATCAGAAAAATCTTAGAGAGAGAGAGAGAGGCATATTGCGAGCATTGTAATCTTCTTCAATTAATCAAAGTTTTTGGTGTGGCTCTCGAGGACGTAGGCACGTTTTCCGAACCTCGTTAAATTTGGTATCCTCTGGTTTGATTATTCTTTCCTATAAGTTTTTCTTTTATTTGTTGTGATTTTCTGCTTGCCTACTTTCGGCACAAGATCTGGAAGGGCACGGGTTGTGTGTTCAACCCTAACAGCGGGTATCAGAGCTTCGTTCAGGAGATTTGTGCGAGAGCCATAGAAGAGGAAAGCAAATCGAAGATTGAGAAGTTTGATGGGTCAGACTTTGCCTACTGGAAGTCGTAGATGAAGGACTATCTATACCAGAAGGACCTTTACAGTTCGTTGATGGACAAGGCTAAGGGAAAGAAGAAGGAGGAATTAGACGAGGACTGGAAAATATTGGATCGGAAGGCTCTAGGACAGATCTGATTGTCGTTCGCCAAATCAGTCACTCACAATATATTAAAGAAGAAGATGACGATGTGGCTTATGGAAGCGCTTGCGAAGATGTACGAGTAACCGTCAGCCACAAACAAGGTGCATCTCGTCAAGACACGCTTCAACCTCAAGATGGCAGAAGGATGCTCATTTACGATGCACCTCAGTAAATTCAACACGATTATTGATCAACTTATCTCTATTGACATCATGTTTGATGACAAAGTGCAGACCCTGGAAAGAGATGTTAAAGCTGAGTGAGGTTGTTAGCATGATTCTATCCGAGGAGATTAGAAGGAAATCATCTGAATTAGAAGGTTCAGGTTCAGTCTTAAATCTCAAGCAGAGAGGTCGAAGCCAGAAGAAGAGAAACTAGAACATGAATTGGTCGAAGTCAAAGAAGAAGAGGTTAAACTCTAAGGTGAGGTCTATCAAAGGAATGTGTTGGAACTGCTGCTAGAAGGGCCATATATCTCCAGTTTGTAAAGCACAAAAGAAGGATGCGAATGAGCATGAGGCTCATATCGTGCAAGATACATTGATCCTTGCTATGGATAGTGATTCTGATTTATGAGTTATTGATTTGGGAGCCTCATTCAATACCACAGCTAATAGGAAGCTTCTTCAGAACTATATGACATGGGACTTTAGAAAATTGTACTTTGGGGACAACGAACCTTGTAGTATTGTTGGAAGAGGTGACGTGCAGATTCAGATGAAGGACTCTAAGTGGAATCTGAAGAATGTCAGACACGCACCGAAGCTGAAGAGAAATCTTATTTTGGTTGGTCAGCTTAGAGTGGAAGGCTATGTTTTAATATTTATAGGAGATTCATGAAAAATCTCCAACGGTACTATGATGGTTGCCCGCGGCAACAAAACTAGAACACTCTACCTAACTTTGACAGTCTCGTAATTACAGCTGGCAAGGAGAGTACAGATCTATGGTATAATAGGCTAGAACACATGAGTGAGAAGGGAATGTACATTCTACACACATAGAGAAAGCTAACCAGCATCGATTCAATTAAAGTTGGTGTTTACGAGGATTGTATCTACGGGAAGCAGAAGAGGGTCAACTTTCAGAAAAGTGGAAGACCACTTAAAGCTCAGTAGTTAGAGCTTGTTCATACATATGTATGAGGTCTAGCTGGCATGTCTTCTCTTGATAGTTTGATGTACTGTGTCACCTTTATCGACAATCACTCAAGGAAGGTGTGGGTATACTTCATGAAGCACAAGTCATAGGTGTTTGAGATCTTCAAGAAGTGGAAAGCCATGGTGGAGAACAAGATAGAGCTAAAGGTGAAGTGTCTGAAATTAAACAATGATGAAGAATACGAGCTAGAGGAGTTCAAGAGGTTCCGTGCTCTAAATGGGATTAGTTTGGAGAGGACAACTCATGGGACGCCACAACAGAATAGCATTTTAGAGAGGATGAATAGGACATTGACAGAGCGTACGAGAAGTATGTGTTTACATGCATGTCTACCTAAGATGTTTTGGATGGACGTGGTGCATACGGCAGCTTACTTGATCAATCATGGACCATCAGTTCTATTAGATTTCAAGATTCCAGAAAAGGTTTGTAGTGGCAAGGAAGTTAATCTCTCACATTTAAAGGTCTTTGGTTGCGTGGTATATGTTCATATCAGTGACCATATCAGGGACAAGCTAGTAGCTAAGTCACAGAAGTGAACATTCATTGGATACGATATTGATGAATTCAGATATCGTCTTTGGGATGAGAAGAATAGGAAAATCATCAGGAGCAGAGACGTTATATTCAATGAAGAGGTGATGTGCAAGGACTGGGACAATACTAAGGATAACCAAAGCGGTGGGAGTAGCACTAAGGATGTAGGTGGATCGAGTCCATGGATTTGGAGGAACTTCTGTTAGACCCTAGAGAGGGGTGATTAGGGTCTTATGCTAATCTAATCCGATTTTATGCCAATTAAAGTTAATTAATAAGTTGTCCTAGCAAGTATGAAATACAATAAGATAAATGAGCTAGGATAAGCAATATGAACAAATGAATATATCCTGGCAAGGAGATATACTATGAGATATATGCAAGGATATATAATTAACACAAGGGTAAGCAATCTAGCTACAAATGTGATAGGGCAAAGTATAGGCAATTGGCAATATAAGATAAATGCATAAGTAAATGCGTCAATGACAAACTCAAACACACTCAAATGATCACGGAGTTTGGACCTTCCGTCATACATCTCCGCTCTCCACTCATGGGGAGAAATCCACTATCATAACCGGGTTTTCTACGCTCACACGAAT